ATCAACGCCGACTGCTTCAAATGCAAGATGCTTTTTTCGAAGTTTCTCAAGAACCATTCGAGCCACATAATTCGTTTTGGCATCGTTGGATAGAGAATTGAATGGGGGGGGGGGTCATGACCCCTATGACCCCCCCTGGGCGCAAAACTCTAATAATTTTCATAATTCGTGTCAAAATAACAAATCGATATGTTTTCAATCTGGTGCACTTGATGGCTTGAAATCCTACTTGATTTTGAATTGCCAACGAAACTGACCAATGGGGGTGGTCATTTTTCGGCACGGTGCACGATTTCATCGAGGCCTTCGACCGTATCAATGGGCTCGAGAAAACAAAAGAATAGTACGAATGAGTCAACCAACGGCTATGGAGTGGTGAATCGTAAACCGAATGCCGGTAATTCAATATTCATATTTCCTGTTCTGCTGCTCTCCACTCTAGATAAATTATTCATTAGTTGGAACGGGTGTTCTCCTACAACATCGCCTTTTTTGGCTATTTGTCTTCTTTTTTGGAGTCAATTTACCATCTTGTAAGCCGCAATGAATCCAAGCATCCGAATTTTAATTACTTATTCGATTAAAGGAGCCATGTTGCAAGCAGGTACACACATCTCCGCACCGGTTCAATATTGGCTTGTTCATAATATGTGGGTCAATGCGAACTGTGATTATTGTCAGATTCGAGCTCGTTTACCTCTAATGTTCGATTACAACCGAAATATTACTTTAGTGTTTAGTAATGTTTATCTAGCGGATGTGCTTGTATTTCCTTCATCTTAACTTTCCGCTTTTCTTGCCTGAGATTCTCTGCAAGTTTGCATAAAACAGCATGAGCTTGAACATTGTCCAAGAATAGTGAGTGGTTTAAATTTGGAGTGAACATTCGATTTTTAGCGATTGAAGAAACGGTTTTCTCCCTCTAGTAGTATGGTTTCTTCAGTTGAATGACGGGCCATTTTCAACTTTCGGTTCAGTTTTTAAAGTTCAGACAATGAATTAATTGTAATCTGGAGCATTTTTGTAAATAAGCAGGCAAGGTCGCCTATTATGACCGCCATGCGATTCTAAGCATCGAATTCGGTCGATTAGAGGGAATCCTTGAAAGTAAAAATCAGTCAATCATTCGGATTGTACCGAAAAAAACCGGATTCGTGTGTTTGCGCCTTATTTGAAAAAATCTCGCATTGAAATTGTAGAGTTTTCCCAATAAATCCAACTGTAGCGCGCGTCACCTTGATTGAAACCAAAACCAATTTGTGGTTGAATGCTCAAAAAAAATCTCGATAGTGATTAGTGAAATAGTAAAAATTAGCCTTCAAAAGTTAAGTTAAAAGCTGGTTGCGCTAGAAAATCATAGCGAAATGGACGGGAAAATATATTTTGCTTTAAACCTTTAAAAACGACTCTTCAATAAGCAAAAAATGGTGAAATGCCTCTGACTAATCTGGCACATAAACCTTGATTAGTCGATCAAAATGCACTTTTTGCCGTCTTCTTCTCCTCGGCCACTTTAGCTTTTTTCGAATTATTTCAAGGAGATCCAAAAACCGTCTTTTGGTGTTTCTACTACTGACCAATTAGCGTGGATTTTTCTCCCTCCCTGTTCATTGAAACGATTGATTGGTGGCGAAATAAGCCATAATCAGCTTGTTTGCCCAGAGTGGTAATTTGCATGGGTTTTTTATTTGTCTGCGATAGTCAGAGCGAGCGAAAGAAGAGAGATCATAAAACATCTTTAAAGGCCCCATTGTATTATGTAACGTACCATAAACCCATTAGTCAACTCCCACAGTACTTGCCAAGTAAAAGGAGTACCTACTCGTTGGGATCGCATTCACGGATCAAGAAGCATTTCAAGTTTAAGATTCTTGCAGAAAAACTTTGAGAATTAAAATCCGCTGATCAAAGACTTTACATAACTCGTGACATAAACTAGCGCCTCCCTCACTGATGTCTGTCCCCTCTGTGCGGGTCTGTGTGACATCAACCGTCTTTTGTCTCGGTCACAGTCTGCTTGATCTAGCAGACCGTGTGAACCAGAGACAAGTTCAGGGAAATGGCGTTTTCCGGAGCCCAAATGACGAAGACGCTTAACGCAGGACCAGCAGCAATAAATAATTAATAAAAATCGTAACTAATTGATGCGGTAATTAGACATTACCACATAGTGTCCCGTCAAATTTTACAAATCAATTATTTTTCTAATGGAAAAGTGGCATCGATCCGTTCTATCTAATCAATGAATTCAAGCATGTAATTGGATTGGTTGGTTGGTTAGGAGTAGTACCGAAGTAGTATCAGGTAGAGGCAGATTGAGTCGAAGAAATTTGATTAAAACTAGTTCTTCTGCTCGAAGTTATTCGTTTAGAAATTGTGCATTAAAATGCCAGCTTTGTAAAGGCGATTTCCTTTGAAAAATGCACTGGCTATTGGGATTCTCAACGCAGACCAGACCATATCTGGGTTAGTTGCGCCAACTGTTTCACACATACCAAATCTGATGGTTCCAAGCGTGCTTGTTCCAATACCTGCTCGCAAGTAGTTTTTTAGGCGTTTTAAAGGAATATACAAATGTATTTTTCCATGAAAAACAGCAGCACAAATCAGTTAATGTACGCAAATTTAATACATCATCTATCGGTTTTCCATGATCGGCGATCAATATCGAAATTGCATCTCAGTAATTAAAGTCAAGAAACGGTTGGGCAACTGATCCAGCCGCGGTTCAGGCCTCAAAAAAATCGCCCATATCGCCCATTATACTTTCCAACAGGTGAATTATATAAAATTATATAATTTTTACAGGGCGGGCGACGTCAGCGACAATTCTAATCCGAAAAGCGCTTGCTTACCTTCCTAGACAATGTCTAATCCTTGATAAAGCACATTATTATCCTCCGTGTAAGTGGTTACCAACACCAAACAAGATCTAGTTACTTTTTGAGTCATCAATTGAGAACAATAAAAATTGATTCACTTGAACACCTCACACAAGTCACACTAAACTGCACTGCAACTGCAAAAGTTGCGAATTTCGCGCCGAAAAGTCGCACTTGAAATTAATAGAGTGCCGCAAAGGAAAAGTGGCCGAGCTGAAAGTGGTACCAGCGGTAAATGTTTAGAACCAACTGACAATCACCTGTTAGTTCTAAAGGTACCTGAGTCGCGCTGAGCCCCCTACTATCAACGTTTGCTCCGGTACATGATTATCAATTGCTCATTTGTTCATAATCTGATAAGTTCTCGCTAAACAACCTTTTGACTTGTCGTTGCGATTTGTTTATTGAATTAATTGTCGCAGCTTACTTGGAACGTTCATACACATGTTTCAGTGCCTATCAGGAGAATTGATTTATCAACTTTTGGAAGATAATGTTGCAACATGAGAAGAACACTTGTTTGTTGTTAATACATGTTTTGTAAAGTGTTTGCTTTCATTGCAATAACTCGCATGTTGCTACTTGAACGGGAGCGCACTTAGGAGAATGTTCTCTAGAGGGAGATTCCGGTATTCCTAAAAATTAATTAATTGAAACGCCCCGCATGATTTATAGTAAGTCCGATTGTTGTGAGAAAAGGCGAGAATTGTTTTGGACGCCAAGGCGGCGGCGGAACATTACTAAGCGACTAAACTGCACAGTTTTTAATAATCAGAAGCTCAAAATTTGTGAGTTAAGTTGCCGAGAGATTTCTAAATGCTTTCAGGCCGCTCAGGAAAACAGTTTCTTCTCAGTCACCTGCATTTTCAGAGGTGTTAAAGCCACCAAAGCACATCTCGCTCGTACAAATAAATATCAGGAAAATATTCTCATTCAGACTCTCTCTCAATGCAGAATTCAAGGATTTAATGTGCGCTTTTAAGGATCACCATCAAATCAATAATAATAAACCCCTGCAATGCAATGCCACCAAAAATTTCCATTTCTTCAAAAAATCGTGTTTTTTGAGCTCAATCGATTCCTTTCGACGTAAGAAGGTCAGAAATATGCATTTATAAAGTGTTTGGATCCAAAATGAGGAAGAAATCTTCGGCTAAAGATCGTGAAAAAATTGCTTAAAATGTGACAAAAATGTCTATTAATTCTAATCTGAAACTTCTACCATGATTTTTAGTGAGTTCGATGTCTCGCGTCCGTGACCTGAAAATGATGTCAAATTTGAGAAAATTGAAGATTTCTCAAAAAATCGAACTCCACCCTTAGAAAAATTTCGGCCAAAAATCTAAATTTCACTAACACCCATTCGTCAATAATTCATTTCTTCCATAAGGAATATTTTCCGCACAAAATCGGTACTTTTCCACTTTCGAAGAAATCAACAACCTTCGTTGCCTAGAGATAGTCCCTGGTGACGTGCTTTTCCGGTTACACATAAACCTGATCGACTCTTTGAATACAAGACATGTACCATGGCAACGAGTAAATACAAACACATCAACTTTGAAATCAGCTGTCAGTAAAGCAGTATTTATTGCAATTGAAGTTTTAAATTAAGCGGTTTTTACACGTTCGTTTTGGAAAAAGTGTCTTATTTGCTGGAAATGCCTCTCGAAGGATTCAAGGACCTGAAAATGTGACTTTAAACTAGAAAATTAGCGATTGTAAAGAGAAAGTAAAATAAGAGATGTGGCTGAGTAATGACACAGCATAAAGATCAACCCCAACCTTTTTTTTGTGAATGTGAAAGATGCGAATGGTTGGGTTAGTTTGGGTTTGTATTTTTTTTGCAATGTGGAATTTTCGATTACTTTGGATTGTTTGGGTTAGTGCTTGTTTATGTTGTTATTCTTTTTGTTTGTAGTTTGTATTTTTTTGCAGTAAGTTTTTCCTTTTTTTGTAATGTGGAAGATGCGAATGGTTGGGTTTGCTTGGGTTAGCAAGTGTTTTTTTTTTTTTGTTAGTAAGTGTTTTTAAATTTTTTGGGTTTGTAGGTGCTTTTCTGGTTATTTTTCGGTTAGTTTGGGTTAGTTTATTACAATATTTAAATGAAATATCGTGTCTTGGCAAACATTTAAATATATTACTTTGTACAGTTAGATTAGTATAGATTTTTGTAAGATATTGTTATTGTAGTAATAAGCGCTCTATCATATAATTACTAGTTAGGTGCTGCTTGCTGGAGTAACGTTGGACTGTCCTTTGTTTAGCTGCTCCTGGAGAAAGTAATTATCTTATTTTACTTACTCTATCTCAGAGACAAGAGATAACTTCATTATCTTATTATAATAATTATTACTCGTCTCTGCTCTATGCTGCTCCCCCCAGAGACAAGAAATAAATTACCCCTTGTTTCTAGCTCCCCCTATTAGGAATTGTCACTTGTCTTCATCTATGATCTATGGTATACTCGTCTTTATCTATGATGGTTGTCACACTAGCGCATATAAGCCAACCTGACTCGTTGTTTAAATGACATGCACAATTGAGTTCGAGGTCACTTGGTACTTGTCTTTATCTATGTTCGAGGTTACGTTCATCAAAACGGGTAACTATAAATCATAGAACAAGCCTTTTTGTTTGGATATAGGATTGAATGAATTAGATCTAAATGGTTTGGCCAAGATCACACGCAATGTTTTAACGTGCTATCTTCTAATAATGCAATAAACAATAAAAAAAATCAATTATTCGGACTGCTCCTAGTCCTTTAAAATCCACAAAACACGAATCGTTTGGCAAAAGCAATAAATTAAAAATTAGAAGAAAAAATTATAGAATTTTGATGACAGAGCAGGGTGGCCAACTTTCTTTTCAAACGCGTATCAAACTCACTTGCGTATGTCATGCATACTCATCAAACAACGAGTCAGGTTGGCTTATATGCCTTGTCACAAAATATCCCCCAGGGGGTATGTTCTGTGCTTTTATCTATGGTTGTCATAGGGAGTTGTCAAAAAACCACAATATGATGTTTTAGGTTTTTGTATATAAAATCCAACAGCTGACTCAAAATGAGCACCAAAAGCAAATCGGCAGAGAAAAACGGGTTTGCCAAGAGTAAAGAACCATCAGTTTGGATCAGGGCTGTATCTGCCAGCTCGCAATGGCCGGATAAAGTAAGTTGAGGTTAAACACGAGACTACACTTTTCCATTTTTCCTCACTCACAGCCAATACCCCTCATAGTTATTTGCCTACATTTCCAGCTTCTCACATTGCCATTCTTATTCCTTCGCCCCCAGATACCCAAATGTAACTTATCGCTCTTGGAAATTTTAAGGAAGAATTCCTAGATGTAATCTACTGGATAAGGCAAGTTTTGGGCATAATCCTTGGAGTGGGATGGGGCGTTATTCCTCTCAAAGGTTTCCTTGGACTGGCATTGTGAGTCACTCAAATCAATCCTCCATTTACCTTTTAAACGCTCTGTACTGCCTGCAGGTTTGTTCTGATCAACGCCGGGCTCCTCTACTTCTACTTCAGTAGTTTTCAAAGCATAGATGAAGAGGAATTTGGAGGGGCTTGGGAACTGACCAAGGAAGGGTTCATTACTTCGTTTGCAGGATTTTTGGTAGGCCACGTTTCGATTTCCGTCACAAATTTAAAATAAAAAATCATCACTTGCAGGTAACATGGATAATCATTTACACTGGGCTCTACTACGAGTTGAATGAGACTTTATGATATTGGGAGTCGTTGGGTGCATTTTATCTGGGCATATTGTTCATGGATCGATTCAAGGACTACAGGATGATTTGCTCTAATAATAAGAAGCATCTTTTTGAAAGTACTACTGCAACAAAGCACTAATTTTTGCAGTCGGGTTTTCCCATTTTCATCAATCATTCCCCATTGTACACAATTTTTTGTTAAATAAATTATACATGTTTCTTTAATCACTCACTTGGTCGGTGTGTTATGTCACTAACTATCCTCAAAGGGGGAAATAAAAAAACTAGCAGTACTTTGCACTTTTTAAAATATTTATATAAAGGAATACAGCTCAGTCGAACTAACTATTAATGGAAGCATCGATTAAAGAGTTAAAAAAAGGCTGGTGCACGGGGGGGATATTTAATTATATGCTGATATTTACGGAATAACTCCGGAAACATCAGTATATCACCAAGAAACACCCTGGCTAATAATCATAAAATAAAAATTTATAATCTAAAAATAATATTGTATAACATCACATAACTGGGGACTAAAAACCTTACCAAAAGTACAGTTAATCTAAAGTTGAAATCAGCACAAGACCACAACGAAAATTGTCTATACAGGGGTAGAAGACAAGTGGAAGTTTGGACTTACTTTAGTCAAGAACTACAAAATATAGGGTTGTTTTTTTTGGAAATGCCCCGGAACAAATGCTTTACTTACACAGATGAAAACCTCCCTTTAATATGCTTAATAGTATTCAAGTTTCACAGAACCTGATGTCCAAATCAGCCTCCAAGATACTTGAAAAACTCTTGTTTTATACACAGGAGAACAGTTGCTAATTCAGTTAAACAAAATACCAACTACCTATACATACTGGCCATATAGTAAAACTAATTAAAGGCCCTGGGATGAATCGTATAAATTTTTTAGAAGTTAAACCTTGCAGTCTACATAATACAATCTATGGAGCGAAGTAGATTTTTGCTAATACTGCAAAGTGCACCACAAGGGTATATACATATTCTATCAATCATTACCCATTACATAAATTCCTGAATAGTTGCGAATTGAACAATCCATTCCAATGAGTCCAGACAGTGCGTGAGAACCTTCGTAGAGGCGAAATGCAATGTTTACATTTGTTGCGTGTAGGTTGAAAAAACCTACTAAATACCAATCTAAAGCTATGGGTGCTCTTTAAAACATATTGCACATTAAACAGTTCAAAGTTGTCATTCAATATTTAGAAAATACTGGCAGTCAATACATCAGACGACAACAATAACTTGTACAGGGCATTTTACGTTAAACCAAGATTAAATTAACAGAGAACACCCTGTAAATGTTTGCCTACTTTAGTAGCCACATTTCGGGTGTCCGCACTGATGTAGTAAATACATTCAACACATTATAAGTATCAGAAAATATTCCACTTAATATAAAGCCAAGGTAATAAAATACATACAAGAAAATTCGTATTTTCCTCTTAAGTCTATCTTCATTCTGAAAACTCGCGAATGTCGAAAAAGGGGGGCGAGTTGACATTAATATCTACAAGAACAAATACTTTGCTAGGCCTGATTTTCAATCCCAGCTGAAATAGACGAGACTCATATGGCCTGATTCGGGCTCTATCTAATAACATGCGCATCTTCAGCAGTCCTACAATTAAAATTGCTGTCTCTTCTTTCCCGAATGGCGCTCGACCGTTGATCTTCTGCCGGATTACTGTTGCTGGTTATCGCCTAAACCGAGGAAAAAAGTAAAGAAAAGAACATCGACGCACACCAAAAAAGCCAATTGAACAGTACAAAGCAGCAAACAAAAATTACCTTATAACGAGACAGAAACTTGAAATCACCTCGGTCTGGGAAATAACTGTGCAATAAACCTTAACAAAACAGAAAAATGGAATGATTAAAATGAACGCCCTAGCCTTAGTAGAAAGCACTAAAAACGAAATAATAAACCAAACAGCTCAAGCTCAGTGCAAATGAACGTGGGTGCACACACTAAACCGGAATATCTAAGCCTATTGTCATCATACCCGTGCGTTTCAGCTTGATTTCCTTGGCCAACCGTCGGTCAATAGAACTGGATTCAGAACTATCCAAAGCCTCAGCTGAGTCGGGCGTATTACCTGTGGAGTTATTTGGCGACGAGCCGTCGCTCAGAAGACTCAACTCAGTGGTTTTCGCTTCGCTATTGGTAACCATCGACCAAGGGCGCGGCTTCTGAGCCACTGCCGGCAGAGGCTTCAACTTCAAATGCTTGCCTGTATCTAGAGAATCTTCTAAAAAGGCAACAATATATGCTAGCCTTTCGACGACTGAAGCCTACACACCTCTAAAACTGTCCGGAGATAAACCCTTTGACAATGTACTACCAGGGGAGTGATCGAAAGTGGATTCTGTTGCCAAACTACCCTCACTGCTCTGTTGGCTCATTAGACTATCACCTGCAAAAGGCGCTTGTTCAACATCTTCTATAAAATCGGTAATTTACTAATGGTAAATGCTCTATAGGCAAGATAAGCATGTTAATTAGATTCCTTAGCGTTTTAAGACATGCCCGTTATCACATACACCATGCGAATTATTTTATTTACTTAGCTACCAGCAATAAAAGTGCACGGAAGAAACTGCTCATTTACAACGAACATACGACCACAACCAGAAAAATATTTCAAGCTAGCAAGACCTCAAGAAATCAACTGACCAAACCTGTTTACAAGTATGTATGCAAATACTGGATTCTCTATTAACACAAACAACCTGATGAAAAACGTAAACTTGCAACTTACCAGTCATTCTTCTGCTCAGCGGTGATTCCCCGGTGTTTTTGCGCAAGGCATTGGGCGAGAACTTTTCCAGATTGTCGGTGGACCTCGATCGGGGCGTGGGCGTCATTAAACCTAAACACACCCCTACGGAATTAAAATTAATGGAAAATGGCATAGAGTGGGCTGAATGAACCTCTTAACAAGGGCGAGTTTCTGCTTAGTTTTGGAGTTTTGCGGCCGTCACTTAAAACGGGCGAAGCAAACTCGTGATTGGGGCTCCCATCGAGCTGGAACGAGTGGCAGTCATCAGAGGTGGGAGTCACTGACCCTGGACGGAAGAACGTATCCAAACCCTCCACTAGATCCTAAAAAAACCAACAGTTTGGGCAAAAAAATCACGTAAAATAAACAAAACTTACTTGGGAAATAGTGTCGGTGGTGGCATCAGGAGGTTTTACCACCGGTCGAGTAGGCGCCCGGGTTTTGGCCCTTCGAGGTCGGCCTGAAACACACTGCGACTTAGCAAGATAAACCTCAAGATCAAAAACTGTGTGACCTTTATTCAGGAAAATTCCTTTGACTAAATGCTGAAGATGTTGTGTGGTGTTGGGCAGCTCGGTTACTGAATCTTCCTCTTCACCGTTTCGAGGCAATGAAGGCAGCAAGCTGGGGATATCATCAGCCGACAACCCTTCGACACTATCCACTACTGATTTGGGGCGCAGCTTCCGATTGTGGACGCTGCGGCGTTTTATTGAAAGATGTGGAGTGGCCTTAATAGAGGAGAAAACACCATTCATTCAATTAAATAATGCATAAAATCGCACAAAAATTTCATAACTTTCAAACACTCCAATACTATTTACTTACAAGGTTTAAATATTCCAACATCTGGATGAGGAAAAGCATGAAGGCAAGTTTATTGGTAATGGTTTAGCTGTAGAGGGTGCGAGCAAACAACTTACCAACGGCGAATGGTCACTAATATGACTAGTACTGTCCGTAATGGACATATCGCTAGCTCCATGGCGCGAACTGTCCGAGCTGCTCAATCGCGATCGTCTGGGGGGCGAGTCGATTCTTATTGCACTCTCATCGCCCACCAAGATCTTGTAGCTTTGCATTAGAGACTCGTAGACTTCGTCAGTTACTTGTTCACTTAATTGCGACGCAACCATCAAATTTACTTCCCTGGAAAAAATCGAGAACGTTACAATATTGTACGTATTAATTGTATCAATCAATTACAAAATTATATTGATGTTGGTATTTTTTTAATAAACTTTATTAATCGCTACATTTCATTAAAATTAAATTTATGAATTCTGGTTTCTATTTTTTTTTACCAAAAATTAAAAACCTTCTTTCTGTTTCAAGTAATATTATTTGGTCTTAATTATTACATTAATACCAAATATTTCCGATTTCAGTACAAAAATATCTTCCCTTGTTAGCGATAAACCGATAAAACTACCAGGCAACAGCGCATAAATTTGGCAATCAAAATATGTCAGCAGGTCTGTCAAAGCAACAAGAGTAAGGTTAGGAGAGTTGAGAAAAACATGCGAAAGTTTAGGAATTTCCAAACAAACGCCCCGACAAATTAAGGAAATTGACTGAAATGGTTGACGCTCCGCAATACCCAACTATCAACCGAGAGGCACCGAATATACTAGTAACGGGAACTCCCGGTGTTGGAAAGTCCACTCTATGTAAGAAATTGGCCGAAGTGACTGCATTGCGTTGGTTGGAAATCTCTAAAATTGCCAAGGATAATAACTGTTTGCAGGAGTACGACCCCGTAAGTGTTTAAATACCGCAAGAAATTCTCTCGCATTCGTAACACTTTCTTAGGAATTCGATACACATGTGCTGGATGAGGATAAGCTAATGGACGGCCTGGAGGAAGTTATGAGCATAGGGGGAAACATAGTGGACTATCACAGCAGCGAATTTTTCCCAGGTAAAATGAAAACTATATTAGAATAAACCATATTAAAACCCAGCCAATTTCCAGAGCGATGGTTCGATGTAGTGTTCGTTCTCACGGCCGACACTAGCAGTCTGTATGATCGACTCAATTTGCGTGGCTATTCAGGCAAAAAACTAGAAAGCAACATCGAATGTGAAATCTTCAAAGTATGACAAGCTCTAATTTTTTTTTATCAAGAAACCGCTTAACATTGCCTGATTTTTCCAGATATGTCTAGACGAAGCAAAGCAATTTTACAGAACCCAGATAGTACATTCACTGGAGAGTATAAATGAAGCACAGCTAGAGGAAAACGTTCAGAAAATATGCCAATGGATACAAATGTGGCTCAACAATCGAGAAATGAATCCCCAATTAAACAGTTAGGCTTTATTAGACTTAAGACTCACCTTAGCCTATTCATAATGTCAACTCCCGCCTGGTGCCGAACGCAACTGGTCACATAATCCAAAGGAATCTGCTTTTTCTGTTTGCAGTCCCTTTTGATATCCTGCACTGTGTGCTCGTCCCTCAACACATACGGGCATTGCTCTTTACAAGTCTTCAACATTTTCTCTATCATTACCTGCAACAATCATTAAAATCAGTCGGTTTAATCTGTATTCGCAGGCTCTTTTGCTTTTTACCTGTATACTATCACAAACACTATTATAAATATCACTAGAGACTTGTTGCAACTTTTCCTCAACCGGATGCTTGTCGTTCCTATGCTGAGCGACTTCTTGCAGCCGAATCAACAGCTGTTTGCAGTCTTCCGCGTCCCGAATCACATCGTTTGCGTGATTGATGTCGTTATGAGGCGCTATCGAATCGCTGCCCAACGATTTAATTGCATCCTGCGTTTGCGTCACCAGCCTGAAAACGCCAATTAAAAAAAATCCTTAAAATCCTCAAACTCACCTCTCCAAAGCCTGCTGCTTCGACGTTAGCAAAAATCCAGCCTGAAGCGAGATGTGCTTTGTGGCCTGCCGCTTGAACGAGACGTTCCGGTTGAGTAAATCCTGAATTTTCCGCATTAAAACGTCGGTCCTTTCGGCAGAAGCTTTCATACAGGGCGTAACGTCGAATATTGGAAAGGGAATATATTGCAAGTTCCTGGAAATTTTTTGCATTCAACTTTGATCACTATGCCGTCATTTACTCAAACCTGTTGCTCTCCAGAGCATAAGCCAAGTCGTGGTAGCCTTGCAGAGTAATATTGTTTCTATCTAGAATGATGGTTTTCAACTTGCTGTTGATTTGCAAGGCTTTCGCCAGAAGCCTGGCGCCGGAGTCTCCTATCAGATTGCCACTTATGTCTGAAACCATTGCGCAATCAGCGTTGATTTTCTTCTCAACTCTCAACTCACCTAGCAGCTCTAGAGATTTATTATCCCCTAGAGCGTTTAGGAGATTGAACAAGTCGCCCCTTAGTCGGCAATCGGGCATTACTAGACTCTGTAAAATGCACTCATCGTCTTGGATAATCTGCACTACTGAATCCATTATCAAAGCCATATGCTTCTTCATGCTGCGCCCCATGTTCAAATGCTTCAACGACTTGTTCTTGCTTATCGCCAAAACCACATTGCACAGATCACCGTCCATATCTGCAGCAAAAGGAAAAAAAGTATTAATCAACATTCGTAGGCCCATTTCCAGGCCTTACTGTTATCCGAGATATCCAGACTAGAGATACAGCGAACGCCATGGACACAGGATTCTAAAACGTGCGCACCATGGCTTCCCAATCCGTTGTTACTTATATCTAAGCTCATTTCTTTGGTAAACTCGTTGCACGCCAGGCCCAATAAGAGATTTCTGAAACAAATCAGGTGACAAACTCTTCGGGGGCAATTAAAGTATGCAAAATTACTTTAGAGCCTCCTGCGGCAGTTTGCAATGCGAAATATTCAAAAACTTTAGGTTGAGGGTGCTGCTGAAGAACTGCTTGAAAGAGATGGGTGCTTCCTTGCTCTTCTTGCTGCTGAAAGGGTTCCGCGACACATTCAAGTGCACCAAATTTGTAGTGCATCCTTTGACTAGGGCGTCAAATAGCTGGAAAGTTCCCGGTTAAAGACTGAGAGAGATTGGTTTCGAATACTCACATTTTCTAAGACAATGTCCGTGGAGCTGATGTCTAAATGCTGAAGCGCATTGGATTGTGAAAGAAAATTATGCAAGTTCTGCAATAGAAAAAGCTCAATAATCTAAGTAATGTTGATAGGTTTCAACTACTCACGCTAATATCATCCTTAAGGCTATTTGCACTTAGATTCAAATAGGTAAGTGTATTGAGGTTCGTAGTGTTGGCACAAAAAGCAGCGCTCATATTGTTCACGCCCTTCGAACTCAACCCGCAATGGGACACGTTGATGTGCACCAGGCCCTTAGTCAGTCTGTTAACGCATTGGCCTAAGTAACAAGCCCCTAGAATAAAAGAAACCACTAGAAACACCGCTAGCAGTTGCTAAAACCCACCTTTATCTTCTATCGGATTGTAGCTCAAATCCACTGTGTGCAGAGCAGAGACCGGATTCACTTTCAGGGTGTTGGCAAGTTTGTTCACAAAATCCGCCTTCAGCCCTAAATTATCCAGGTAGAGTTCTTCCAGATTGAGCGACTTTTTCAGCACGTGAAAGATCTTGTCCAAATTGTCGTGAGAGAGTTTTATTTGATTGGCGCGCAACTTTGTGAACCAGGTGTTGTACTCGAGTGCATTGATTATTGGAATTAAATCTCTGAGAAATCAAACCATTATTTGAAATTTGACCGGACTGTTGCAGCGCGGAAACTCACTTCTGATCTAGATATTCAAAATCCTTTAAATTGAGCTCGCGAGTGTTCAATGAAAAATATATATTGTCCACATCCCAAGCTACTTCATCCCTATGAGCCATGCCATGGAAGTCGCAATAGCAGGCATATTGCGAGGAAAAGCCCCCACAAGGCCCAATTTCCCTTCGACTGCTCGCTATTGCCTCAAGATCCCGCAACTGTTGCAATCGCGTGCTGGGAATCACCTCAATCTATTGATTTTCATTTTAATTAGTCGGTTACTGGAGTTTTCCAACTTTTCAGTTGATTTTGATCCAAAAAAGCAAAGGTTTTAAGAATTGTAGTTAAAGTAAAAAACGGTTCAAATCATTGCATTATATCACAATGACGATTAGCAACAACAATAAACTTTTCAATCTGAAGATAGTACCTTTTTAATAATATGCTGCAAAGGAACAGTGGGGAAAATGTTCCGAATAGCATTGTTTAAAGCGCCTATCATATTGTCTACTTCAGTGCTACAGCTGGAATCCTCTCCAGTGAGGAACGAATATATCTTGTCATGTATGGTCAGGCTGAGATGATTCCCTCTCTTACTCTCCAGCGCTTGTATTTCCAAATAATGGAAATGGCAGTCGATCTGGAGAGGTGTCCAGGACACAAATTGTCAATCTTTGCCAATGTTTTCAACAGCCAATTTACTTACCTTCGTTGGCACCTTTGCAGTGAGCAGTAGGATTCTGCATGGTGAAAACACCTAAAAATCATGAATAAAATCTACTTTCTATTTTGTTCTAACATCGCAACTATCAACAAAAATGGAATTCGTTCAATTCATTGGAATTAAATAAACAGTCTTCTTCGAATTCTATCAATTATGTATTTACATAATTTACAACAGTTACAATACATTGGGGGGAATTTTGGTGGAATTATCTTATTCTTTCAGTAGAGAACTCAATACCTATATAACACATAAATTCAGTTCAAATCACACCTAAGTTTTAAGTCTATTTAGATTCATCGAATAGACGTAGTGTTAATCGACGCAATGAACTAGCTTTCATACAATTTACAGATATCTTCATATTGCACTTTATCGATTCGCCTGCCTTTTAAAAGTCCTTTGGAGATTTCTACGCTAACACAAAAGTTTCTCTCGTCCAAACTGAGTAGTGTGGCTATTTCCCCTGCATAGGCTCCATTGACGATCTTCACAGGTTTTCCGATGGCTGGAATGACGGTCTCCAGATGGGCCTGGTCCAGTTTCAGCTTCTTGCCCGAGTCCAACAGTTTCACAATAGCACCGTATCTGTCTACAACCTCCCTTACAATACCCTTTTGCTTGTAGAAGTCGTCGCCCAAAGATTTGGTAACCACTTTTACCACAATATTTTCACTCAGCCAGTAGTCTTTGCGATTTTGCGCCTCCCGTTTCGTCTCCTGTTCCTCAATTATTTCGTCCAAGATGGATTTTCTCTTGATTTCGATTTTGAATTTTTTGTCTTCGCGCACACTTCCCACAGGACTTGACGGCCTCTTAAACAGTTTCTCCAAATTTGGGATCACTTTTATGTCAGTTTTCAGGCTTAAATCCAGCCTGATAACTTCTTCTTGGTGCTCGCGAACAAGCTCTGTGTAAACTGGCTCCGATACTGGGCCTGCATTCTCTAGGCCTCTTTTTATTTGCTTCTCCAAAAACTCCATGTTCCTTTCCTCGTCATTTTTGTCCATTTTATCCTTTTTCTTTTTCTTCTCTTCCTTCTGCACTGTTTCAGGGCTGCGATCAATGTACGTGATAAACCACCCTTTTTCAGTCTCGTCGATTACTGCCTGCCCTGTTTTGCCCAACCACCGGACAAAGCCCGACAAGGAATTCCATCGAGTGCCATTCATGTGAACATGGTCCTTATCAGCAATATACTCCTGATAAACCCTATTGGCGTTCACACGTTTGGATCCAAACTGCCTTTTGAGTATACTGACGTAGCCTTTAGCAAAGTCGAAGGAGAAATCGTCGATATAGCGCTTGGAGTTGTCGGCAAACAGGAGCAGTTGCCTTTGATGGGACTCGCTCATTGTGTGGCATTTGAATCCATTCTCGTCCCTGCATTGTTTCTGGCACATTTGGCAGTACCATCGCAACTTCTGCAAGCCCTTGGCCTTCATTTTGTTGGCCAGGTACTTTGGCGTGCCTTTTTCTGCTTTCGGCATTTTGTTGCTTTAGCTCACTCACTAAACTCACTGGGACCTACGTTCTGACAGCGTTTTTTGGTTGATTATTAACAAAAAAGTTGAAAAAACGCTACAGACATTAACAAATTATTCTCTTGTTCAACATACAGCTGATTACTGACTGAAACTGACATTGACGCTTTGTGAGTGTTGCCAACTGGGACGCGACGTTAGTAAACTGCAGCATTATACGAATAGTTGACGGATTTAACATGGCCGAAGTGCAATAATCAACGCCAGGCCGATTATCTGCGTATTAAATGGTTTGTGCAAATTTTTAAAAATTTGCAGAAATTCGCACAACTAAAATAAGTGAAATAATACTATAAATGAATTAATAAATAACTGATGTAAATGTAACAGCAGCGTTGCCGTTTTGTTAAAGCATCAGGACAATGGCGGCAAAATTCAAAATAACATAAATATTGATTTTTCACAAACGGCAGCTGTTAAACAGGAAAAAGGAAGCGTTAAATAAACAATAAAAACATGAAACACTCACCAGCACCCTGTTTTCAGTCTTGTCTCCTTTGGTTTCGAGCCGCACCACATTTTTGAACAGGATTTTCACCTTATTGCCCACGGATGATTTAATGCTCTCTAAAAAAAACTGTAACTAATTACCCAATTAACATGCCGTATTGCTATTGTTTGGCCTTGTAGCACGCATAAACAATTGAATTAGAGTCTACCTTTAGCAGCACACCAACCAAGCTTGCCCATAGTGACAATTTGTGATAAACAGAAAGAGAAATCTTCCGAGCTTCTTTTGTGATTTTCATGCCAAAACACGTCATATAATTCGTATGCAAGACAGGTCCAATTTAAAACAATTTAAAATTCAACAGAGTGTCACTGGGTCAATTTGAATGGTCTGCAGGGCAAGCTGGATTTCTTGGAAACTTATCACTCAGTTAAAGCCATGCAAGAGTGATTCAATTATTTACTTCAATTGATGCATGAGTAATCTGATGTGTATGGGACCAATTATATAGGGCACACGCAAAAGTAACTGTATTATACTTTAACCAGTTTTGCTGTTGAAGTATTTTCATACAGCCCAGTTTGAAATAAATTGCAAATCTGTTTCAAACACTAAACAGGGCCATTTAGAGGGTGAAACGTTCGGTATGGGAAATGTGGAATGACAAAAGTCTTTTAGAACATCAGACATGAATGTTCAAGTGCAGTTGTCAAATGATAAGAACGGCTGAATTTTGACGGGGAAAACACCCATTCCGGGTCACAAATCATTGCCACTTAATTGGGTTCATTTGGGGAAAATGAGGATTTTTCAAACTGAACTGAAAAGACACTCCCCTCTATTCTGACCGTCACACAACATGTAAACATTCGCTTTTAGCGATTTTTATCAATGAAAACGATTCTTACCATTCAAATCTTTGGTGAGCTGAGAACGAGTAGACATAGTTAAATATCAATCACCACAACCAACACTAAAATTACCTACAACTAGGCATATTTTTGTTTTTCTTTTGAGCTGCTCTATACAAAACTAGATTTTCAGTAAACGTCATGCTCAATGTCAATTGTCACTGAAGAGTGGGAGAACAGTTTCTTCCAGCCAGGGTGGCCAACATCTCAACTTCTCAAACGCGTATTACCGTACATGCCATTTGAAAATACCGTATTTTATCGTACCAGAGATTCACCTCGGCCTAGTGACCTAAAAAACAAGAAGAAAAAGGTTTCCATGAATTAATAAAGGCTGAGGACATGGCTGGTGACCAAACAAAAAAAGGTCCCCTACATTAGGACAGTAGGTATCAATTACATGAAAAGAGCCTTCACACTGAATAAAATACAAAAGAAAACAATAAAGTGAGGTTTATTGTATTAAGAGTGCGACAAACGCGGTATCAAAAACTAAAAAACGCACTTAAAGTTATTTGCCTGAACATCTTATTTTTTCAACACTGCGCATGATTAGAATAACGTTTAGCGTTTAAGGCCAACGTAATTTTATGGGGCCTAAAAACTCTCTATTTACCGTACAAAAAAACAAAAATACTAGAATACCGTACAATTGGTGTACGGTAACGCGTTCGGGTCTCTGCTACACCGTACAATTGCCCAAATTACCGTACATGTACGGTAATTACCGTACGAATGGCCACCCTGCTTCCAACTCACATAGTTGCCAGAACATAAAAAGCTAAATTACTGAATTTAATCCATAGAGAAAGTAAAATAATAAAATATTTTACTTACTCTATGATTTAATCCACATTTCACTTTCATTTAAGCATGAACGTTTCCGAATTGCCGAAAATATCTTGACTAAAAGCTTCCAAATATGAAATTACACGATTTCGCTGTAGTTGAACGCTTGATTAATTAAAAAAAAATAGCCATCTAATTTAACATTAGGAAAAAATTGTAAAGCTCCGACCATCTCCGACATCCATGCTGATCCATGCAAGGGAAAGTCAAAACCACAAAATATCCCCCCTGGGTATGTTCTGTGGTCAAAACCATAGATAAAGACGAGGTCAAAACTGGCAAATCGGCAAATACTCGCCTTTATGTACTGGCGCATATATCGTAACTGACTCCTTGCTTAAATGACATGCGCAAGTTAGTTTGAGGTTACGTTTAAGGATGTGTGGCGAACTCTATCTGCCACTTCTCAACTAGCAGCTTCAACCGAAACGCCAGTTATATCTCACCGCATAACATCTGTGGCGTTTCGATTCAAATAGAACTTCCAACCTATGTTCCGTATCCGGCGTCTAAGGCAGGGCCTACCTAAGCTTTACTGACGAGTCCAATAGGTAGGTAGGCCTGAGCCTTCGTTAATCAAAACAAACTTCTATTTACCAAAACGGGTATGTATTAGGGCTCGGAATCAAACTCGAATAATTCGAGTATTTATTTTCCGTTCACCGTTTTCTAAGAAGCAAAATCGTTATCTCATATCATTTTTGGCAACTAGCCGCAACGGATAAAAAAGTGCCTTTGTCGGCACACTAAATGTAACACCGTGCAAAAGTTGATATCGCGAGTCACCAGAACACAAACACGTAATTTTATATTCATTTGCTGGAAGGTAAATAATTATTTTCATTTGCTTGTAAATATATAACTATTTGTTTAAATGCTTGTAGAATATGAATAACTTATTTTTTAAAAGTATACAAAGTGCATATAAAGATATTTGCACCTTGTGAGTTTGATAATGTTGGTGTATTCGAGTATTCGAATTTTCGAGTTATGACTAGACATACTTCGAATATTCAAAAAGAGAATAATTATGTCTAGTCATAACTCGAAAATTCGAATACTCGAATACACCAACATTATCAAACTCACAAGGTTCAAATATCTTTATATGCACTTTGTATACTTTTATAAAATAAATTATTCATATTCTACAAGCATTTAAACAAATAGTTATATATTTACAAGCAAATGAAAATAATTATTTACCCTTCAGCAAATGAATATAAAATTACGTGTTTGTGTTCACGACGGTGACTCGCGACATCAACTTTTGCGCGATGTTACAATTAGTGTGCCGAGAAAGGCACTTTTTTATCCGTTGCGGCTAATTGCCAAAAATGATATGAGATAACGATTTTGCTTCTTAGAAAACGGTGAACGGAAAATAAATACTCGAATTATTCGAGTTTGATTCCGAGCCCTAATACATACCCGTTTTGGTAAATGGAAGTTTGTTTTGAGTAACGTAACCTCAAACTGACTTGCGCATGTCATTTAAGCAAGGAGTCAGTTACGATATATGCGCTAGTGTCTTTATCTATGATCGGCGACAGCGACATTGACAACTGTTATGATTGGTGTTGATGAAGAGGAAAATATCGTTTTTTTGCCATAAATCGTACGAAAGACACCGTAAGTGAAGTTGTTTAATTAAACACGTAAAATCTAAAATCGGCTTGGAAATTAGCCTGTTAAACCTATTAATTTATCAGCGATTCTAAAGCAATTTGACCGATTAAACTGCAGATGTTACCAGTAAAAACTATGTAGGTTTAACTGGAAATTCCTTACTTTTTATTGAATCAGCTACCGCAGGTGAACAAAATGTCTTACTCTAGGAAGAATTACAATCAATAAATTGCTGGTTGCTTTCGTTTTTTTTCTCTCGACCTTTAGTGGGGCTTTAACATTGAAATTGTTGAGTTTCTGAAACGTTGACCCCAATTTCGGCCGGATTGGGAACACCTACTTTAAAGACACCAAAAGCCAGCAGCTGGTAGAAATGTTTTCATTTAGTAGCATTTCGAAAAGCAACACCAACCGCAAACACTATTCAGCTGTTTAAGACAAAAGAGCATATTTTTACACATTGAATGATTCACTCCTCACATCCTTCACGTTCATATCAGAAGAGATATCAATTGTTTATGTACAGTCTGACAATGAGAATGTATGTTAAAGAAAAAGCCCGAATTAATGTGGTTTAAATGCTAACACTCTAAATTACAAATTCCACAGTACCTTTCCATTACACACTTTCAGATGTATTAACAGCCTAAAACATAAGTGTGAACTGTGATGTCCAAACTTAAAACCCGACCAGTCCTAACGGCATGATTGGAAGACCAATTTTACTAACCAGTCTGAAAATTACTCAATGGGATGAATGAAGAGGATCTTCTGAAAAGGTAAAATGCAACCTGCCACCTTATAAGAACCCACTAGTTTTCCTAAATAAACAGTGCGGAGTGAAAAATGTATTTAAATAGTTACGCAATATCCAGATCTGCTGAAGAGCGCGACAAGATATTCAAGCGATATGAACAGGGTCGCGAAGGAGCCGAAATCGACCCTTGGGAAGATCCAGGATTTGAAGTGTATCACGCTACGGACAGGTAAACGAACCCATACAGCGCAAAAACTTCCTCTAATAGCGTGGCTTCAGATATGGATTCATTCACGACAAACGTTTACCATCCAAAGTGGATCCGCAAGAAGCCCGCAAGTTGCAGATCGAGGTAGAGCGGCAGAAGAAATGGCTGAAGATGTTGAAGAACTGGGACGCGCAACAATCAAAAGTAGGCCTTGTTGAGCGTTGTCTGGTGTCGCAGATAAAAACGCTGGCATTTGCAGGAAAAGCTTCACTCTAGGGTTTACAAGGGCATCCCAAACTCGCTGCGAAGCGAAGCGTGGTGTAAACTGTTGCAGATCGACAAACTAAAGAAGAGCAATAAGGGCAAGTACCAGGAAATGATGATATTAGCCCGGAAGTATTCAACTGATGCCCGGCAAATAGATTCAGACGTCAATAGGCAGTTTAGGTGATTTAAAAAGAGAGAGCACTGAACACTTTTTGCATGCTATTTCTTTCAAGGGAGCATCTGCACTATCGCGAGCGCTACAGCATCAAGCAGCAGATGCTTTTTAATGTCCTTACGGCCTATGCTATGTACAATTCAGAAGTGGGATATTGTCAAGGCATGTCCGGCCTGGCAGGAGTGCTGCTTATGTACATGGATGAAGAAGATGCTTTTTGGGCTGTACATATTCTTCTCACTGATCCCAAATACGCCATGCACGGCCTCTATAAAGAAGGTACATGCAAGGCCACGTTGCTGCAGTAACAGGAACTAAAGGCTATTTTCAGGTTTTCCCAAACTCACCCGATTTCTTGCGCATCACGACAAAATCTTAACGAAACTACTGCCTAAGGTCAAAAAGCACTTCGACAAGCACGGCTTGGACACCATTCTCTACTCTTTGAAATGGTTTTTTGTGTGCTTCATTGAGCGAGTAAGATTCGCGCGGTTCTCCAAAGAACATCCAGTAATCTTAACGTTGCAGGTTCCCTTCAGCCTTTGCCTCCGAGTGTGGGACATCTACTTGTTTGAGGGCGAAAGAGTAGTCACGGCAATGGCTTACACCATTCTCAAGATGCATAAGAGAAGCCTATTGAAGTTTAGTGATATGGATACCATTGTAAATTTTATTCAGGTACTACTTGCAGTCGGTGATAACACTTTAAACTATTGTGGACTTTTTGCAGGTTAAGCTGTACAAAGATTTTCTGTTCGACGACGATACAGTGATACGTGAACTAGAACACTCCATGGAGCTGCTGAAGAAGAGCAAACTGGATCACCCGGGTCCTCCTCATATCGAGGAGCTGCCTCAACGGCCGTTCGGGGTGTTTTCGGAGCCGAGTTTTGAAGAAATCGTGGGCATCAGAAAAGACAAGTTTAGTGATAAGGAAAAGGTAGGAAATAGAGTCCACACTTCGCTTTTATCTCGGTCCATGTACATCCCAGTCCCATTCCTGCCCTTTCAGATTTAGTGTCAAGTGACCGGGTTTTTTCCTTTCAAGCAAACACAAGAGATCGTAACGTTGACAAGCGACATGGCTCGGGAGTCTGCCGAGAAGGACGATGAAAAGGAGAGTCACCTGTCTGTGGGCGATTCCGTGGGTTACACAGGTACGGATACTGAGAATAACTCCACGCTGGGTAGTAGAACAACTTTGGCTAGTAAGAGCAGTTTAGCTGAGGATAGTAGCGTTGAGATCGAGTGCACTAGGCTATGAGTTCATATTAGGTTTAGTTGTCGCTGTTCTGTCATGAATGCATTTTTAATACCCACATTTATTGCTTGCGATGTTCCTTCTCTATACCTTTTTTCGTTTCAAGACTGATTTTGTTTTAGAAATTGGCCATTTTGTATTTTTATAGTATTTTTACCAGTTATCATTTGTCGCAACGGGCCACTTCACCTCTAAGATCTACTGCACATTTATTGGCAATTTTTTTTTAAGTGTTTGTTTTTAGTTCTGCTAAGATTAATGTGAGTAGAGTTTTTTTTAGTCACTATGGCCTGAGATATTGTAATGTTTGCATTCGGGGCCTTTTCCTCAATTCCAAGGCTTTTTATTTGAACATATCAGTTTTCATAAACCAACTCAAAATAGGCAATAAATTCCCATGAAGAGTCGAATTCTGCAAAATATTTTTTGTCACCCATCCGCTGTTATGGGTTTATTTTTTCAACGTAGCTGATAGTTTCACTTCACGCTGTACATTTTAAACATGTAGCAATTTAATTTTGTACATATTGAATAATACGGTATGTTTTCCACATAGTTAAGGCTTAAAATTAGATGTAAAATATTTTTTATTTCCAATCGTTTGGTAGTTTTAGCATATTATTGCAATATATTTTTTTACGAATCTAATCGACACTTGTATGGTTTCGGTTATTTACTAATTCATTTTCTGAGAGCACTTTTTGTCTAGCAAAAACTGCCCTCACCTCCACTTTAACAGTCCTGTCCAATGTAATTCGGTGTCGGTTATGGTTGGCACTTTTTTTTTCATTTACGCATTGTGAATTTATCTGAATCGTTGAACCAACCGAGCATTTTTCTCTTTGCAAAAAGTCTCAATACTGCCAGAAGTGAGCGTGTGAAGGTACGTTTTTGGCATGTCTAGTTAAGCATGATTGTTTTTGTTGTTGTCGCCGTTAAAAACACTGCACAATAACAGTTTTTTTGAGCACTAACCCGCCGCCTGTCTGACCACTCAATTAAATTAACCGTTGTGGTGATGTGTTTAGTGTGTTTTGGTAATTGGCTAATCTATCTAACCGGTAAGAGGCTTGATTTAATTATTTTTAGATTTTAGACTTAGTTTTTTTTATCCCTATCACTACTTTTAAGCGAGCTTCTAGAGGCACCAGTAAATAGCTTGAGCTTTGTTTGTAGGCTCGAAATTCTCCTTCGATCCTTCAATGGACGACGCCAGCTCCCTATTGGACTGCGATCACGGCGGATCCAGACGTTCATTGGCCGACACTAGTGTAACATCAACAGCCGACCTATCAGTGTTCTCGACTGTGACGCGGTCTCAAGCTCATGAGAACAGTTTGGACACTCACAGCAATATGAGCGACAATTCACTGGGAGGCGCTAGTTCAGTTGGATCAGGTAATTGCTAGCTTCGCCCTTTAGAAGGGGATTTAGAAGAGGGTTGGCTGTTTCAGGAATGCAAAAGCCGATTACTAGCGCCCAGTCAACCCCCCGGGCGACGCCCCATAATCCCAGCCCGGATGTGTTGCGCATTTATGTGCCCTACTCACCCCTGGATACGCCCATTCCTAGTCCCCACAATGGAGATGTGCCAAGAATGCACCCCTGCTCTTTTCCAGAGATGAACAAAATCCGGATCAGGATCGACAACGACGAACTGGCCACCCCATTGGTGGAACATGGCCGGATTAAGCAATTTCTTCTGGAGGCCCCGGAATTTGACATGCAGTAGTAGCCAGAGAGTGATTTTTGTTTTCGTTTTGCCGATTTTCTTTCGAGATATTTCAGCTCTAATCACGGTCGCTCAATCATTCAAGGACTTGAGTTTTTTGTTGTAAATAATTGAAGTCGCTTTGCAACTTTCGAATCTCCATTTCTTTTCTGATCTGAATCTTTCATTAGTTGTCTTGTTTGGTAGGCTTTATTCTTAAAATCATTGTCCTGAATACCGTGAGTGTCAGTCAGTGCCTTTTCAGCAGAAGCGGATTAAGAAGTGAGGGCATGCGTTGTTTATTTTTCTCAATGTGCATTTGTATAGTGTGCCATTTTATTTTCTACTTGTAAAGTTGTATTTATTTTTTAATTATTTATGGTGAGCGGTTGATACGTTACCAATTGATACCCGTCGAAAACTTGCTAATTTAGAGCAAGCTTTAGTAGCAGTTGTAGGCTTCAAAGTTGAACTCTGAATTTGATTTAAACTTCACAACTCCCATGGAAATAGGGTTATTTTGTGATATATGTATTTGCGCGTGTTTTATTATGTAATGTCCCATTTACTACCAATTCTCATTTTATCTAACGAAATCTAGATCGGATTCCTATATGGGCTGTAGCTGAACTCTGGCGCTCAGAGGCAAACATGGTTACTTTGCATTTGAAAGCTTTGCACAAAGTGTAAGTAATGGTATTTATAGTCAGTCGATTTTTTAAGTTTTTGAAGCCTCAAAAGTCATGAAAAGTGCAAAGATGAAGCGCAAAGTAAAATCGAGTAACATGATAGAATAAACGGAACTTCTACTTACGGGGAATCCTCCAAACAGCTCTTATGGAAGTTTTCTTAAAGTTCACCGCAATTTTCTATAAATTTGAACGTTGAATGCTTGTGGAAACTAGGCAAAACTAGGTAACTAACACCGGATGTTGAGTCAAGTTGCGTACAACAGATGTTTGTATGGACGAATTCACCTGTTGCCATGGTTACGGCTGTGGCGCGTTGCTTGAGTGATTAAGGCGCCCGGTTCTACCGTTTTCACTTGTATGTGCGCCGAAGGGTTTTAAACTTGATTAATATTCCGAAATAATAATTGAATTGAATAATTCCGAAATTTCCCATGTTTACTTCATGGTGCCGGGCTTCGGGAGAACCCCCGCTATATTTAATTTTAGTTTCTCACTCATTCCCATTTAGTTTTTAGCGATTAGTCAATAAGATTTCCCTTCTGTATAGTGTGATACCTGCAATAATGGATGTGTTGTAACTTTCGAAACATGTTCACAATATAGCGGATAAAGTTGTTAAATTTCTTTCTGAATATTGATAATGATGACAATGTCTAAATTTTGTATAATAAAAGTTAATTTGCCGAATGTTTACCTTTGCCAAGTGGCTACGTTCCATTTTTGAAGGAAGCAAGTGGCTACGTTCCAACACCTTGACATTTACTGAAAAAAACTGAAAAACTTCCGGGGAAAATGTTTACTTTTCCACCTTATCCCCCCAAAGACTACGAGCTTAAGGATGTGCCGAAAATCCAGCGCAGTTCCCCGCAATTCACCCCTGGGGGTGAGCCCAGAGTGACGCAATCCACCCTTGGTCAGTTCTGCTCCCCTATTGAATACCAAGAGGGCGAAACTCCGAAGAAAATCCAGGTTTTTTAAAGGCCAGAATGGTTTTTTTGTTGGCCTAAAGATGCGTTTTCAGGGGCTAAAGTGCAGTCAGCACATGCTGGAGAAATGGACCAATGAAGCGCGAGCATTTTGGGTCGACGAGCCTGGCAAGGACGACTATTTTCTTCATGATTTGTTCAGGAAATTCGACGTAAAGAGAGATAGTTATGATCCAGCCTATCGGCACAAAGGTAGCCATCAGCGGAACTAGTTTCTGAAACAACTAACATGGTGCTAAAAGCGCTCAAATTTCAGAGAAAGTATTTAACAGATCCTACAAGTACGAGCTGGTGTGCTTGGAAGAGCAGCGGCTGCAGAAGTTGCGCGAAAAGTGCCAACGCGAGCAAAGCGCTTTAGAGGAAAGCTTCAGAACCGCTCAGAAGAAAGAACACGCAGAAAGCCACCCTCCAATGAAAGTGGTAAAGTGCGTCAAGCAGCCGCCCTTTTGGTGGCAGGATTGTGGAAATATGGGCGACCTAAAAGAGAATGCTGCAAATTTCAATCTCCCTCTCAGCTTGGAAGCACCAGCAAATCGGCATCCAGGCCGCTGGGCCAAAGAACCCTGCTTAACAGCAGTGGTAGTGGACGACCCTTGCAGGAGAAAACACGAAATGCATTCGTACGTTTGGCTTGAAGGTCTTTTGCTGGCTTCTAACCGCCCTTTTGCAGGGTGGGTCAGCCATTCAGGAACGCAGCTTGCAACTTCTACTACACCAATTACCCTCCCCCAGACATCCAGTTTAGGGCGAAAAAGTTCTCCTAATAAAAATCTGCTTTCAGCAGGCTCTTTCAATATTACGAGTTTTATTGGCAGCGCTTCGCACGTAGCATTGTGCTGCATTTCGTTTGTCTGACGTTCCTTACTAATTTGAAGATTTCTGACTACAAGATGTTTTTCTAAACGTAACCCCCTGTATTAACAATTGACTGGTAGCAAGATTCCATCACAGTCAAATAGTCTAGGACGTGACAGCAAAATTACTCGTTCTGCAATTTGCTCAATTCTGAAATGGAGAAAATCGTCACTGAGAATCTCTTCCTGCTGGAATTTCTCGTTGATAACGTGCAGCTGGGCGAAAAATGCGAGTGCGACGCCCCGCCAGGTGAAACTTGCGTTTCCTTCCAATTCCTCGACAATGCGCCCCTGGATGTTTGCGAAGCCGATTTCAGCCCTAAACGGAACTTGAAAAAAGGTGACAAGGAGTCGGTGAAGAGCGGCAAAAGCTGCCTCTTCTCTCTCAGCCCTGAGCAGGCAGCGGGAGCCTCTGAGCAGTTCGATATCTGCGTCTCTGTGATGAAGAAAATGCAACCCGGATGGCTGCCTGAGAAAGTGGAAATTGGTAAGCAGCGGGGAGCTTTCCTTCTATCCCATTCCATTCTATCCTTCCATCAGGCAATTCCTTGATAAGCATCGCAAATCTCTTCAATGAACTGATCAGCAGTGTGGAGTTGTCAGATGGTAGCTCACCTACTGCAAAGACGTTGAAGGATGATTTCGACATCAATGACCCCCAAGGAAGTTTAATAGGGAAAATCAGCGTCTACGTGCGAATGTCTTGTTTTGGCAAATTAATTGTCACTCAGTTCCAAATGAATCTGGACGATAAGAGCGTTTTGTTTAAGGACAAGGAGGGCAAAAGCCTTTATCGCTACAAAAAGTCTGGAAAGCGCAAAGAAGGCTCCAAGGATGCTCCAGACCAGACAAGGCAGGACTGTACCTACTGTGGAAAAAAATTACCCTAAAAAACTGCTTGTTTAGGTACAACAAGGACTGCCCTAGAACTCCTTGTGGAGGGCAAAAGCCCCCTCAACAACAGGACTTTGGCAAAGAATACGATTGCCCTTTTGCGCCCTGCGGCGTCGATCAGCCCCCCAATTTTGCCCAATCAGCTCCAATGGGCAGCAGCCGCCCCATGAACTACGGATCAACTCAAGCCCCAGGGTGAGTACAAATTTTCTGGTTTAATTATTTTTTTTGAAGTGATAACTTTTTATGGGAGGGTAAACCGATTTTTCTCGGTCACGGCGGCTCCCACTCCGGCCTCTTCGCTCCTGAGGCTTGGGACGCTCATATGCACTTTTTGTTAGTCCGGGTGCATCTGTAGATCTGATAAACTTTTCAAGTGCACATTGCGTCATTAAACTCACAGTGATTTTGATTTATCAATTATTGAGTGTGATATTATTGTGATCGGTGCAGTTTATTTTATAAAGCTGATAACAATAAATCAACAAATTATCAAGGGAGAAGCTGCAGATACTGCAAATACTAGGTTAAGGGTCCTCATGTACTAAATGCCTGTTCGAGTTACGCCTTCTTTTAAATTTCCAATTAAAGTACACACACAATTATACACACTAAAGCAGTTTAAGTGCAAAAAAATGCGGATCGTCCATCAATTTGCAGA